AAATTATAGTAAATGTTTTAGCAAAAAAAAAAAGTAAAGGAGTAACATATTTTATACAATGACAAAAAATTATAGAAAATGGCTAAGAGAAAATTTATTAGTTTGTTTTTTTAAAAATACAATGTTATTTTTTGTTATTTTTTTGATTAATTAATGATAAAATTAACTTTAATTTATTAATGGTAGGAGTTAAATTATATCGATTTTAAAAATTGAAGGGAAACATTATACTAAAAATGACTTTAAAATTTTAGGCGTTTTTGAACTTATGGTTTTGTTGCAAATTTATACTCTTTTACCCATGAAAGTACCTTGATAATGAGTTTATGCCACAAGTTTTCAAGTATAAAAAGATGCTAGAAGAACGTAAAGTCAAGATTGTTGCCATGAAGCTTAAAAAGCATTCTCCCATATGGTTGGATAATCAGATAATCTCAAGAGATGGTGTATGTGAGCGAGATAAGGGAATTAAAGAGATTTAAAAATAGGATGTGAGCTTAATTACCTGAAAGTTCTTACCCCAGCACTAATCTCAAGGTATTTTAATTTATTCAACCGCAGAATCTCATGGTATAGTGAGGATTTGCAGAGCTCATTACTGTACATTAAAGAATAACTACTTGTTATTCCTTTTTTTTTTTTTATACACTGACACACCCTACACTTTCTCATAGAAAAGCCCCACACACACCACACCAGATATTTACCTTAACCCACACTACCAAACCAAAAAAAAAAAAAAAGATTTTTAACAGTCTAAAAATTATTGCTAAAAGTTTTTAATAGGTCATTGTTAATAATTTTTGACAATAACAAACATTATTGTCATCAAAAGTTTTTCACTGCTAAATGTTTATTATTTATCACTATTAAAACTCCTTTTTAAAATAATAATTTAAAAAAATTTAGCGGAAACATTTTTTAAAAAATAATATTTATTTTATGCCACGTCATTTTGTAGTATGTGGATTACGTAATGCCACCTCACCTGCCATGTATGAGGCAAATGATGTCACATCACCTGTCATATGTGTGCCTCCTCAAGCCACTTCGCAACCACATACCATGTTACATATTTGTTGCAAAATATGTCAAAGTTAAGATTTGAACCTTTGACTTCCCATTTCTAAGCTTTAATTCTTTCTTTTTTGTTAGTTAAACTGAAATGCACTTGTAATTATTATATACAAAATTAAATATATGTTATTTAACTACATGTGCATATATCAAATAATATATTATTAAAACAATATACATATATTATATTATATTTTTAATTATTAATATGATAAAATAATTTATATGAATATTTATATTATATTTTTAATAAGATATTATTTTTTATCAGTAAATATTATTTTTGTTAGAAAAATGAACTTAAAATAAATAAATTTTAAATTTTAAATAATTTTCTAAACATTGTAATCAATTTTTAAATTTTATTTTTATTTTTGAAATGAAAATTATTAAGTATATAATTTATTTATAAATATGTATTATATTAGTTTATGTTAAAAATCTTTTACTTTTATCTTCTCCATATTTTTCTCAAAATTAATAAGTTAAATGAGTAAATTTTTATCTTCTTTGGTTAAATATTTCCCCCTTTTTTATTAAAAATTTATTTTATCTATAATTTTTCAATATCTTTAAAAATTATTTTTAATAATAAATTAATTCTAAGCACATAAATTTGTTAATAGTCATTTTAAATTTTTAATGAATACTAATAAATTTTACAATACAAAATAATTGATTAATTTAGCTAACCTCTAATCATTTTCTACCTTACAGCAAGGTAAATTTGAATAATTTTTCATATTCTTCTTAGTAATAATTAGTTATAAGAATCTTGTTAGTAACTTCTTCTTTTATATCAATGAAAACCTAAATACACTAGGCATAATCACATAAAATCCTTATCCAAGAGCCATTAGCGCTCAACAGAAGAAGTAGATACCATGTGTACAACAAACTAAGCATCAAGTGCGTAATATACAAAGTAATCTATAATATCATTTGCATCTCACAACATCTGTACAACTTTAACGTCCCAATGCTATTTATATATTTATATGTAAGTACTAATTTATATATAACTTAACCTGATTATAATAAAAAATAATAACCCATCAAGATTTTAATTTATCATATTAAAATACTAGATTAATAACATAATTCTTAAAAAAATATGAGCTATACATGTCTAAAAAATATTATGAATAATATAAAATTAAAAAATAATTTAATAATTAAACTTAATATATCTTCACTATTATTCTTTTTATTTCACGATCCTATATATTATTTATTTCTAATTCTATATATAAAATAAGAAATTTAATTTCACAAATGTTTTTGAATGATTTTATTTAATTTTAAAATTTTAAAATAATTCACAAGGAATTTTTTAATAATTTAAATGATAATTTTATAAATTATTTCATATAATTTAAAATTTTATTTAATTTTGTAAAAATATTTTTGGTGAAGATAAATGGTGTCACCAAAAATAATTACACAAATTAGTTTTAATTTTTAAATTTTTTTATAAATTTAACAATTATTTTTGAAAATATGCTTTTGATGATGACATTTCACTGTCGCTGTTAAAAATTATTTTTGGTGAAAAGTAAACTTTTGACAATAATATATAATTGTTATTTTTAAAAGTCATCACTAAAAATTTTTTTTTTCTGTTTTGTTTATATTGCTAACCTGATCCAAACCTGTGACTTCTCCCATTTGAAGGTGTCTTGGGTGCCACGAGGCCCCTGACAAATAGTTGTTAATATTGTTTGATGCTAAACCCGAAGGAATAATTAATGAGAGCCTATATATACTCATTTCATAGTCCTATTTTTGTCCAACATTACAACAATAACAACAACAAGCCTTATTTCATTAGATGGGGTCAGCTGCATGAATTATACGACGTTATTGTGCTCTATTATTTATTAATTTTTTTAAAATATTATTAATTAAAAGGTCTCACTCAATAACTTTTAAAAGTGTTCTCTTCAGTCTTTCTCTACCCTTCTTGACAGGGTTTAAAATTATCTATTTTACTCTCTTTACAAGTGCCTCTCATGATTTTCTTGACAGGGCTTGAAGGTCTTTGTCCAACACTACCAACAGCCAATATAACATATGTAGATGGGATAATGATGAGGGTTACAAATTCATTATTGATGGTTAATTTATGGGAGTTGCATATATTAAATTCATTATTTCAAAGGCTCTTCATATATCTTGAGAACAGCAAGCACAACGTGTAATGATATTTTGAGGGCTAAGGTGAAATTATTTGAAACTTAATATATTGTAATTTTTCTATTTTCATATCTTTTTGTAGTTTTTTTAGTTTCAAATCATATATTAAAATTTTGTGATCAAGTAATTTTAATATTTTACTTTCAATAAATAATAATGTTAATTTAATCTGTTTTTTTAACATGGTTAGTTTTAAATAAGATTTAAGTAATTTTAATTTTTTTTGGCCCAAAAAAAAAGTAATTTCAATTTTGAAAAACTTCTTTTAACAGTACCAACTATTATTGGTGTTGTTAGCAATATTCTTTTTGTTAACATTTCTCTCAGTGCTTTCAATTCTGAAAATAAATCAAAACTATCAATATTACAATGATCATTAAAACCTAGTAATTTTTCAAGATTTTCATGTTCATTTAAAATAAACTAATTAATATTGGGGAATGAGAATAATAGGTGCATTAAAACACGGGCAATAATAAATTCTTAATGAAAAGATATAGTTAACATAAAAAATAATGATTGGATATATAAAATATAAGCAAACATTTTTTGAAGCCTAAAGCAGGCACCTTGATGGCTTAACAGCCATAATCACGGCCCTAAGAAATCCCAGTTAAGTTGACAAAACCTGAGCTAGACAACTAGTTAATTAAACCCTAAAACTTATTTCCAAGCGCAACTAGCAGAAGATATATTAATCAAAGAAATTATAGTGGTACGTCATTTAATTTGCTGCTTCTGAAAGTGTAATTTAAGGCTCCAGATTGGCATGCATACATATGAATGTTAAAAGAGAACTGAGAAGCTATACACATGTAATTCTGATGTTCCGCTAATTTACGAAAGGGTTTATATATACTTGTCTTCTCTTATTGATCAACCTTGTAATTGAAAGTTTTGGGCATACATAAACTGAGAAGTTCAACAACTGCAAAACAAAGTTAAGTCCACAAAATCCACACCTAGAAATCTAATTGAACACTACAACTTATTACCAAACACAACTACGTACGTAGTACATATATAATTAAACTAAAGCGCAATTTCATTCCCCCAATAACTTCTTCGCATTCATTTTCGTTCCTTCAGAACTAAACATCAGATTAATCTGGTGAACTTCACATATACTTGATGAAGAAGAAAATATATATTATTAGGGATAAAAGTTATTATAAGGGAACTAAACGGAGAGGGTTACTTTTGAAATGACCAAACTGAAAGCTATCATCACACTGTCATGCGTTTTCGGAACTTGGATCTTCTCCATTTCTTTTTCTTCATTTCTTGTCAACTTCAGTGACAGATAAACACAGAATCCATCAAGTCCACTTAAAAGGTAGATACATCTCATCTCAAAATTTGAGACTCACTTATATCTTGTGCTTATCTCACTTTGTTGAAATAGACAAGAAACAACGGTTAAGATGTAAAAATACTCAGAAATTTCTTCTCTAAGAGTTTATGATATCTTTAAATGTGCATGGGCATCCATTAATTTATAAAAGATATCAACTTTTCCTAATTCGTTAATTAAGTTCTATAACATTCAAAGTCATAAGACTTGCGAATTGAGGAAAGTTGATCTCTTTTATAACGTTAATGAGTTCTTATGCATGATTGTTAATTTAAAGATATCAAAAGCTCTTAAAAAAAAGTTTGAGTATTTTAGTACCTTAACTAGAGAAACAAAGAAAAGATAATGGAGAAGACCTAAATTCGAAAGGAAGTTACACAGGAGGAGGAGGAACAGGAAAGCCAGGAATACCAGGAATAGGAGGGAGTGGAGGAATAGGAATTGTAGGAACAGGAATAGGAATAGGAGTAGTAGGAACAGGAACAGGAACAGGGTATGGAACTGGTAATCCAGGAATCCCAGGAATTGATGGTGGAAATGGAGGAAATGGAGAAGGGGGTTGTTGATCAGGATTCATCACATCTCCACCATAATCCACCTGATTTGCTTCATCAATCTTCTTCTCACTTGATGACGACGATGCTGCATCTGCATGATTCTCTGCTACTTGATGATCATTACTTGCTTCTCCTTGTTTATCTTCCACTTTTCTGTTGTTCTTCAGCTGGCGAGCACTGACCAAACAGAGAAAAAGCAAAAGACTCAATAAAACCAGCGGTGTTTTGGACCTTTCAAAACCCATTTGGAATGGACTTAATTTTCTCAGTGATATAATGTTGAGAGGGATTATATATAGGGGAGAAAAAGAAGAGTGTAGAACGACCGAGTGATGATGATCTGTACGAGGATTTATTGCTGTTAAATGGAAATTGAATACGTTTGTTTCCATGCATGATGATCTGATTCTTAACTGAAATAAATGAATTGGAAGTGAGTAGGACTTAAAATTGAAGTTTTGGTGACTTTGGGACTGTAAGAATGCATTCACGTACATTGATGACGGTGCGGATTATCAAGACTAGTGAGGCCGGCTGTCTCAGGTTTTGAATGTTGCAGAGATAGTTGAAATGAGTGCCACCGCTTTGTGATGCTATACTTGCCTATCAAGTTCTAGGATTATTTAATGAAAATTAGATATCATCAAATTTTAAACTTAAGAGGAGACATATTCATAATTAACTTAATTATGAACAAAGGGATGTGACAATTACAAATTTTGTGAAGTCATTAATCACAATTGAATATATCAAATTATTGAAATTGAAATGTTATGGAAGGCCCACCATATTTTCTCTGTTCTTATATCTGAGATGTTTTCTAAAAGTTTATTTTGTCTTTAAATATAAAAAGTATTATGATATTTTTAAATAATTAAAAAATTTTGTTCTTATCTAGAAAAAAGAGAAAAGATATTAATTGTATACTTTACTCACCACTACCATGATATTAATTGACATTATTATGGGCAAAATTTGAAAATTATTGTGATTGAATGTGATTTCAATTAAATAACACACTTTTATTAATATCCAAGATTTAGTTAAAAACACCTTTATATATAGGGACGTAGCAAGTAGTCTTTATCTGTAAGTAAAAAATAAATAATTATTAAAATAACTAATAGAATGTGACTCATGAATTTAAATAAAGTTAGTTATGAATTTGAGTAATGTTACTTGTGATAATCAATGAAAATTCAATTGTGAATGGATTATATTGATAATTTTATGGATTTGTATATTGTCACTTATGAATTTAAGGATAATTACTTGTAAAAAATTTAAGGTTAATAGTAAATAGTAAATTTTTAAAAATTTAGTTGTAAGGGAATAGATAGTCTCGTGAATTTATGCATGATTTATAATTTAAGGCAAGTTGGTTGTGAATTTAAGGAGTATCACTTATCATAGATATGGAACATAAGTTGTAAATAGATATAAATAACATTAATTATTCCTAAATCAATTGGAGGACATGGTTTCTCATCCTATAGTGGCTACATTGATGAACCACGTCCTTCTTTAAATAGGAGTGACATGGTTTGTTTTGTATTATGTCTCTCTTTTAATAATGTGATATAGTTTTTGTAATTTTTTTAATATACAATTTACATTTGCTTGACAACCAAAATAAAATTTGCTAAAATATGCCACAAAAATAGTCAATTCTTATAGCAAAAGTCCAACAAATAGCAACTCATTCATAGCCATTTATACAGTATCACAACAAAATATACCAAATGCATTGGAACAATAAAACTATTATCACCTATTCAAGTGTCAATATTTACAACCAAATTTTAACAAATTACTTAAACACATTAGTGTTTATATCCTTCTAACTTTCCATTATTTTTGCTAAAATTCTAACTTAATGGACAAACTATAAAATCACTATATAAATAGCTCTTAAAGAAGATAACTTGCTAAATTATTTCGAATGTCAATTATGTCTTCACTAGTATAGGAGTACTCATTGTCAAAAAACTGTAAATTTTCATCAAATGTTCATTAGATATCCAAATTCTAAAGCCTCACAAAACTGGTATTATTAAAATAAATAATAATGTAACTTACCATGTGTAAATTTTCGTTAGTTTCGAATTGAATAATTTCATACATATAACAAATAATATAATATCCACACTCTATACTCTCTATCTGATGATGGCACTGAAAATTAAAATTGAACAATAAGTATAAACAAAAATATATGTGAAAAAGTTGTGGATAAAAAGTATTGAATTGAAATTACTTATGTTTGAAAAAATTTAAGTTGGTGAGGAATTTTTTTGAGATATATTTTTTATTGGGCGGTGCTTTCCCCTGATCATGTAATATATCTTCAATGGTCTATCATGAAATTTAAATACCCTATCATGAAATTTAAATAAAATATAAAATATTAAAATAAAATAAATATCTAATATTTATAAAAATAATCTTAACTTACATGTTGAATATATTTTTAGTTTCAACACTTGGTTGCTTGCCCATAGAATAAAACTAATAGCTCTTGTGCAAATACAGGCATACAACACAAATGGATGAATGGTAACTACAAAGAGACAAATGAAATCAGTACATAAAAGCATAAAAAAATTATCAAACTAAATATATATATATATATATATATATAAAAGAACTTGCCCTTCAAGAATTGAGGCCAGATAATATGACAATTTTATTTCTAAAATAGTATTACCCATGAATCTCATCCTATCATTGATATTGTTGTGAGTTGATGTCAAAAAAGCTGGACACAAAAATCCAAATTGATCTTTCCGTGGTCCAGTGCAAAGATTACTGAGAAACCTATTAATAGAATGATATAAAAATTATTGCATATAAATTAAAATAGATGAAAATGAGATAGAATATAGATAATAAAATTATAAGATAGATAACATAGTCCATAAGATATCCAACTCATTCATCAATAAGAATTCCAAGATGTCTTTCTTGTCCATTGCAAAAAGATATGACTTGTATATACCCATAATTCCTTTAGGCATTGCCAAATTGATAGGCTTTGTTATTGCCTTAAAAATTCATGTAATTGTAGTAAATTAAAGTAGAGTAGTCCTCAGCATCATCAAAATCCTAATGAAACATGAAATGAATAAAAGTTATATAAGTAATCAAAAGAGCAAATCAAGGAATAATGAAGAGTTTTTTTTCTACCATTGAAATTGTCATCTCTGTGTCAATAAGTCTTTTAAGTCATAAAACGAATTGTCCCAGTGCTTTGCCTAATTTTCCAACCTCATTGGTGGGGAATGGTACATTCACATTCACTCAAGAACAACTTTAACTGTCACCTTCACTTGATCATCTAAAACATTCATGTTATAGATTGTTTCTACAAGCATATATAGCCATGCTAAACTAACAATTTGCTTTCAAGGATTATTCAAATAAAGAAAACAAAATTGTTCCTCCTCTACTAAGGGACTAGAGGCATGTAGTGCTATTTCTAGTGGATTATAGCTATCTTTGGTGCTTTGAAGCATGGGAGAAGTTTGGAGCAATAAGTAAACCCAATGAAAGAAAATTAAAAAAATAGACAAAACTGAATATTAAACTAATTAAAAGTAATGAAAACCTGGGGTTCCTGCTGCCCAATGTCCTATGTGCTTCTTATATTAGTGACCATAGATCTAACCTTTTGAAGAATCTGCTCATAGAGCATCAAATTATCCTGTTCATACTTTCGAGCAACTTCATCTCTAGCCTTTACCAGAAGGCCATCAAGCTTAGCTCTTGATACAACTCCTGATGAGCCTCATGGAATTGGTTCAAAATACTCCTTCAAACCAACTCCTTTTCCTACCCCCTAATATGAACAAAATAATCTGGCATTCTAATTGTTGATGCCAAGATATCCATTCTTCCAATGGATTGAAATAAACCTTAGAAAGCTTATTCCTTAAGTGAATCATGCAATATAAAATTAATGAATTTTTCTTAAAGGATACAAAATCTAAAATTTGATTTAATCTATTTAGTATAATTACTTACAATCTATTGAGCAATTTTAGTAACTTCCGGAGTAATATATTGGCCTTTCTTGATTCTAGCCTCTTTCCATTTTATTTGACGAGTTGGAGGAGCTGGGGGATGAACAACAATACTGGGGTCATATCTTGTAGCTTTCTCCAATTGCTTCAAATCAACTTCCTTAAGTTTTTGGTCCAACTTTTTATATCCCTCCCGAGACAAATAATGTTGATATTTATTTTTAGACTGTCTCTCTTTATTTGCAGCACTTAATTCCTATAATGAAATAAAAATAAAGTAAGTTAAATGTAAACTAAATAAAAATAAACCAAGTCAGTTATTAATTATATCAAAATTTACCTGAAATATAGGATTATCTCTTGATCTCACAAATTATCTCCAAGTGTCTTCATCAATGAAATTATATTCCAAACATGGATTATTGTTCTTCTTTGCTCCTTAAATGTATTCCTTAGAAAGGGATGACTTGAAATCTTTCCATCAATCACTTACTTGTTGAAGCTAATGCTTCTTCATCTCATAAGTAGGAGACATATCATAAGTAAGCTACAATGTGTCATAATTATGAAGTAAAATAATAGTATCTAATATAATTAAAACAATAAAAAATAGAAAAATATGCATGCCAAAAAATCACTCCAAATCATGTCCTTTGTAGCTTCTAGTACTTCTTGCCAACTAGGATACAAGATGCCAATTTTATTCCGAGCTATGAGATTTATGTAACTTACAAACTTGTTCCTTTTTGAACCAAGTGGTCTTTTACCACCACCAAACTCTAAATGCACTTTCTTTGTAGTGCCTTAATGTAAAGCCAGCTCTTTCAATTTTGTACTTCCTCTACCTCTTTTTTTATAAGTTGCATTGGACGTGTCAACTACATCTTCACTAGAACCCTTTATGTGCTTGTTAAGATCAAAAAAGAATACAGGTAAATAACTTACATTATAATTAAATATATAGAAATAAATAAATGAAATAAATATATGAATATAAAAAATCAATTACTTCAATATTTTACTAATTAATTCTTACTTTATTCATTCTTCTAAATTCCTTTATAATGATAATCTCTAACTGTATATTCATCATTAACCAAATCTACTTCAGTTGATCTAGGTAGATTTGTAGGAAAAGGCAGGGTTTTATTAAGG